TATCTATCTATCTATCTATCTAGAAGAGCAGAAGGCCCGCCAGGTGTCTGTGTCACTCCCACTTGCTCTCGTCGAGTCGTCGGCGCACCTTTTTGTTTCTTTCCAGCTTCTTGCCACAGGGGCCCGCAAAGTTGGCCTCACATATGTGGCTTGCCGCGTTGTCCGTGGCTATGCCTCCAGGTCCTCACACCACCGCAACAGTATCATTGCACCGGGGCCCTGACAACCCTCAGCTCATCTCAACTTCAGCATCCTACGGTTTGTCTGTTTGTGCTGAAGAAACGAGATGCCGTGCAAGAACCGTGGCTTGGGACCAGTTTGGGGCGATTTTCAGAGCCCAAGCAGGTGAAGCCAAATCTGGTGCGTCCTTAGGCTTCACTGTATAGAGACGCTTCTAGATGAAGACAAGGCCAATGCTAGCTCCCCTGGTTTCTGGCGGTTCCAGCGCTGAAGGCCCACTTCGAAGCATAACTTTGACGTTTGCGCAAAACACATCTACACTGAAACTGCGAGGGCAGGGGCAATGTTGTCGGCGTGTGCTGAATGCGGCTCGAGGTGGAACCAAGCCATTCCTTTTCCGTAGTCTTCGGATCGATTGCTGGGCATACGTCTGGAGCACATCTGCAAGAACATCTGCCTGTTGTCCAGCCTGGCGGTCCGTCGTACCGTACCGAGCTGAGGGGATGCCGACAGTCGAGGAGCTGAAGAAGTTTATCGCCTCCCATGAGGCTCGCTTTGTCGATCTAGATTTGTTGAGCTCTTGGTACCAACTGTCTCTGTCCCTTGCTTCAAAGACGTGGCCGCCAGGTGAAGATCGATGATGCCGAGCAGGAGGCCGCGAACGAGCCGAACCGCAAGAAGAAGAAGGACAGTAAAGGTAAGACTTGAGCTAGTCTGGACGAGATCTCCAGATTGGTCATACTGACATGATCGGAGATGTGTCAGGACCTGGAAAACGCTTTGAAAAAGCTGCAAAATGACGAGAAGTACCTCAAGGCCTGGCCCTGATTTCAAAGCCAATGCCCCTGGAGCGCTATACCCTGGCTTCCGCGATTCCTAAGCTTCCAGCCTCCTATGTAGCTGTTCATCCCGGAAGCCTACCTGTCTATTTTGCGTTCCTCACGTCTTGCCTTGCAGTGAAGCCGTCCAGGCAAAGAGGCAGTCCCCTCGCAGGCTGATTTGTGCGCCCTGAACCATCATCTAAAAAAGCCCACGAACAAAGCCCAATAGCGACACGCCCAGATGACATCTGACTGAGGCGAAGGAGGATGTCAAGGCCGCAGAAGCCCAGGCACAGCACAAACATCCAAGTTTCCAGACTTTCGTATTCCATTGCGGGGCTTCTCGGCGGCTTTCGAAGTGTGATGTTGATGCTTCTAGACCGAAAGAGGGATGTTTTGTGTTCAATTTTCAATACTGCTTCTTCTCAGGGTTGCGATTTGCTTGCGCCGCCAGGCCCAGAAAGAAGCAGAGCGAGCTGCATTGCATCCCAGCTTCGATAGAGATGTCTTTTGTTGGCCCTTCTGATTCTGTGGATTCAGATCCCTGCTCAAAGAGTTCATGGAAGCCAGCTGGATGGCTTGATCCGTGTGAAAATGCAATGGTGTTGTGAACTGTTGTCCCAGGAATGGCAAGGCTGCGGACAAAAAGGCTGGAGACCAGGGCATCGGACAGGAGAATCGTTAGCCAATAAGGTGTGTAACTGTGAACACAACCTGAAATCTTTTGGAATGCTTGAGCTTTTGAGTCAGAGAGCTTACAGCTGAAGGCAGAGACTCGTACTTACGGCGGCTGTGTTGCCTCCTGGTTCCCTACACTCCTTCGCCTTGTTCATGAGGGCGATAAGACGGCCAAGAAGAAGGATGAGCCCAAGGCCGCACCGAAGGCAGACGCCAAAGCGGACGAGGTCCGAATGATGGCACGGATCTCAGAGGATGCTAAGCCTATCGGAAGATACTGTGCAGGCGACCTTCAAGGACATTGACGAGGCTTTCGCCGCCTCCGGCAAGGATGCCGCCGACAAGAAGGCAGTCTTCCTGAGGGAATTACAGCATGTAGAGAGTAGCAGGGCTTTTGTAGGTGTGGGGCCGTGACGGCTTGTGCCCTGATCCCGTTGAAAGGCCGTTGCCATCAGCACCCTGGAAGCTTTGTGTGCAGCCACGCCATTCGTTCTGCCAAGGCTGCTGAAGTCGAGTTGAGCGTGAATTGATGTGCGTTGGCCTTGCACCTGATGTGGATAATGACATGAGGCTGCCACAGCTCATCCCCCTCTTCGACAACAGCAAGCTGGCAGCACCTGCTGTCAAGGCCAAAGGAGACTGCGAAGTAACTGTCTCTCTGTCTCCTCCCTCTCTCTCTCTCTCTCTCTCTCTCTCTCTCTCTCTCTGAAAATATGCGTGTGTGCGTGTGTGCGCGTGTGTTCGAGCTTTTGTGCGTTTCTCGTTGTTTGCGGTTGGTCCCGTTTTCTTCGTGCCTGGGATTGAACTTGTTCTATTGACTACAATCGTGATGCAACTTCCCTTCCCAGCTTGCCCGCTGGAAGACTGTTGCTGCCGCATTGTCAGCTGGAACAGAGTATGTCCAGTTTTTGGTTCAGACTTTAGCATCGAGCCAGGCAGCCACGGCAATCGTTGAGGCAGTTGCCCCGAAGGGTCATGGCATCGCAGCACGAGGCTCAGCTGTCTGGTGCCAGAGTGCACGATCATTCAAAGCGGCAGCGAATCTTCCTCTAGTCAAGGCTTAACGGAACCTGCGGTCTAAAGGTCCATGTCGTTCTCGCATGGAAGCTCTCACATGTAAAGGTACTGGGAGACACAGTGTGCCTCAGTCCCTGCCAGTACATCAGTACATAAATGCAGTACCGGGCGTAACATGTCAATCGGGACATGTGCAGATACCAGATCTTCTCGTGCTGTCTGGAGTCTGTCACATGGGGCATTCTCAGGAACTGGTACTGCCAACCCTTCTGGCCGGCATCGACGACAAGAAGTGGAAGGTGAAGGTTGGGTGCATCCAGGCTGGCTTGCATGTGGTCGCCTTTTCTCTGCTTAGTGAGCCTTGGGTGCACCCACGGTCTGTCCGCTCTGTCCAGGTCATGCTTCCAGCACTAAAGCAGATGGAGGATCTCGTCCTAAGGGGTGCTCATGTTTTTTTTTTCCTGTCTGGTCGCTGCACACTGCACCGAGCAATAATAGACAGGATCCAGTGCAAGTCGACTTGGACACTGCAGCCTGGCAGGAGGGTGTCACAATGCTGCAGCTCTCCCAGTGGCTGCCCACAATTGTGTCCAAGCTTGCCGAGGCGCCCGACGATAGGCCGATAGGCCTTGCCAAATATGTTATTCCCGTCAGGCCGCCTTGGAAGTCCGCGCGGAGATCCGAACAGCAACAGGCAGCCTCTTTGCAAGCTGCACTGTGAGCTTAGGCATGTCACGCTTGTCTTCCAGGGGCGGTCTTGAAGGAGATCGGCGCTTTCGTTGCCAGCCCGGAGATCAAGGTGCCATCATGAGCACCTCCTGTGAAGCCCTCAAGCCCTGACGGTCACTGAACAGAACGAGGCGGTGGTAAGACGTCGTGCGAGCGAGCTGTGGACGCTTTTCGGGCTAGTCGTAACCAGACTACTGTTGTGACCATCTGTCCGAGATCCTGCACTAGCGCGCATCGCTGACTCGTCTGTGAAGATCTGCATCCTTCCCGAGCACCGGTGATTCTAGATCGAAGGGCTTCTGGTAGCTGAAGAGGATCGGTGGTTGTGAAGCCTGAGTCCGTCGGAGCAGGACGACATGTCAAATCTGTGGCATAGCCTCAATGATCCGGACGGCTGCAACTTTCAGTTATCAAAAGCACATGTCGCTTTGGGAAGTGGAAATGCTTATAGTTTTCGACGAGAGATTTGCGCGCGACAATCTGGGCGTGCAATTGGTGAAGCCTACCCCTTGTTCTGTTCGACCTCGTGCTGGTTGCATGACCATGTCACCAGTCATGGTGCTCGTTGGCTGACAGCTAGACGGGAAAGCGAGGATTAAGTCGTGCAGGCAGTTGAATGCATAATCATTGCCGGTGAACGTGTAGATATGTGTAGATAGCCCTTCTCTGTGCTTCTTTGTCTCAGATGGCGGTCGGTAGCAGCCGCTTCTGATACGTAGTGTGCTTGAAACATGAGAGCATTTCTGGTTCGGATCGTGTTCTGAAACAATCGTGTTCCGACCAGGCTCTCTCCGCGGATTTGGTCACGGCCCTGGCAGAGCCCACGAATCAAAAGCATACCCAGGCCGGCTAGCTCGGCCAGCCCGCGACTGTCGTGCCAGCGCTACCAGGTTTGTGAGTGCAAGAACTCTACGTCATTCTATGTAGAGAAGGTCGTCTTAGCTCTGGTACAGGCTGTTACAGGTGCAGCTTTTCGATACCTAGAAAGTCGATGAGGCTTGGCATCAGCGTCCTACAGCCAAGCGCTTTTTCTGCTGTTGTCATTAGTCTTGCAAGATGGAGCGGGAAAGTATGGTAGCCTTGTCTGGCAGCTTGACGGACAATTCGGTGGGGTTACTGCTTAACTGCAAGCGAGATGTGCGGGAGATGCTTCCATCCATGTGTTGCTTGCAGGGTGTTCTCGCAAAAATGGGCAACACCACCTTCAAGTCAATGATCGACGAGGCGAGTTGTCGTGAAGCTTCAGCAATCAGGAAGTAACTGCGGGATGCTTGCAAGGGGTGTTCACATCACCGGACCAGCCGACCATGTTCGGCTTTGGGTCAGGCATCTTTGGCCCTGCTCTTGCCCATCGTCTTGCGTGGTCTCAAGGCCTCCGTCTGAGCTGACTTCCGATTCGTGAGACTTACGAACAGCATGGTGAACGTACCACCTGTGCATTCTCTCACAGGCAACCCCGCACACATCGCAAGCTTGGAACATGTCAGCTCCTGTACCCTACGAGCTGTGGCCAGTGTGTGCCAGGTTGAAGCCAAAGCTTTGTAAGGTCGTAATGCAGCTTCTTGAGTAGGAAATTGCCAGGACAGAGAAGCCACAAGCAAGAAGTGGTCTGCACAGATTTTCGGATCTGCAGCACTTCTCGTCCGGTACTAAGAGCTTTCACTTGGTGTGGCCTTCCACCGACGGACACGGTGGTGTGAAGTGTGGCAGTGGTTCGTGCAGCATGTACTCGTAGCGCTAAGACTACAAGCCGAGACCATCTGCCCTCAATCATTGCGCTCTTTCAGGTGCGTGATGTTGATTTCCTCAAGCATCTAGGCAGCAACGCGAGTGGGCTCTGGATTTACTTCTGCCACATTCTGCTTTTCCTTTGCTAGCCTCGTGCATGGAGCATCAGCTGGTCGCCCGATTGAGACTTGGTGTGCTGAGGCCTTACCTCAAGCCTGCGTTCTCCCTTCTCCAGGCATCTTGCCCGACTTCAGTTCCCCGGAAACGTAGGTATCGAAGGGCTGGCCGTGTGAACACCCGAGTGTGGCAGCAGCCGGAAGGTGAGGTTGTTGTGGCTAAAGTCAAAATCCGTATCCGAAGTGTCGAGGCTGCTCTGAACGACTCCGTCCCAGAGGTGCGTCGAGAGGCTGCCAAGGTCGGTGCTGGTTGAGCTGTGACTTTTATGGTCCGAACACGGCCATGCCGTGCTGCTTGATTCTGCAGGCATTCGGCATCTTGGAGCAGGTGCTCCCGGAATGGTCTCGCACTGTTTGCCAGCCAGCGCCTCAGCGCTGTGACGGCGTAGAGACACCTGAGGTGTTGCTGATGCTAGTGACCATGCAAATTTTATGTATGTGCATGTTGGCATGAGATGAGGGGAAAGGTGCAGGCTTACGCCGACTAGATGGACGTCTGTTGCTGGGAGTTGCATGACTGAGCCGAAGACTTCAAGGAAAAAGGGCATTCGGGAGTATCTAGCAGCTTCCTGGAGAGTTTTAAAGGAATCCGAATCGACAAGGCCCTACCTCTTCGGCAAGCTGCGCGCTGGCGATGCCTCCGAGCAGATCGGGGCATCCCTGGGCCTGGCCGAGGTCTTCGTTCGCATGGAGAAGGCACGGAGGTAGGAGAACGCGTTAGGCACACCGGGCCCAATTGTCGAAAGAAGGAACATACATACGTCCTGAAAGTGTGACAGCCACTGCGCGGAGTTGAGGCCAAACTCTCGCAGCTCATTCCGGAGGTGCAGAAGGCTCGTCCAGCGCTTGAAAGGGGCGTCCTCCCGAGCGGGTGAACTTGACCTCAGGGCGCCAACGACGAGAAGTTGGCTGTGCGACGAGGGTTCCTGGAACTCATGGACACAATGCCGCAGGTGCGGGGAGCTGCAGCCAAGCAGAAACTTCTTTCTTTCATCCACTTTCTTTTCTTTTCATGCGCAGGCCATGAAGATGGACTTCGTTCCTTTCATTGAGCGCTTGTTCCCTGCTATGCTCTTGGGCGTCACTGGTGAGAAGGACTGAGTCAGTGCATGGCTTAGCATCTTGCAGTGCACCAGCACAAACAGTGGGACTTGCAGAGGACATCACCGATGATCCGGCCCTCAAGGCATTGGTAGGGGTGTTTTGGGGGTTTGATTTCTTTGTTTCATCCGCAAAGGCCGCCCAGGCCCTCGTGGGCCGCTTCGGCGATCTGCGGGCTGCTCGGGGGCTCTTCCGGGACGCTCGGAGACACGCGGACGGGGCCCCCTCCCCCCGGCACCTGAGGTGCCCGGAGCTGCTGATCTCAGCCTTCGAGGCTGGGCCTGGGCATCCTTGCGCGGCGCCTCTGCGCGCAGCTCCCTGCCCGCACTTCCCCCCTTTTCTGCCGGGCGCAGGGCGCCTACGCCGCCGCCCTTGGGCTGGAGCCTCACAAGGAACACCCCAAACCTTTCGAAGGAGTTTCTTCTCTGGCGACAGGTCGGGCGATTGGAAGAAGTTCCAGATTGTGCGCGAGAAGTCGATGCAGCTCCTTCTGAAGACTGCGGAGAAGATCCTGGAGCACAAGAAGCAGCCAAGCAAGATATGCACTCCTTGGAGCGGTTCGAAGAAGTTGAAGTTCTTCATACTCAGGTTCGGCCAAGACCTACTAACCTGCGACGAGTGCTCATCGAAGGATGCGGGAAGCTCCTCAAAGTCTTTACTAGCGCGTAGTGCTGCTGGTGTTGTTGTGGAGATGATGACCGCAAGCCGTGTCGCATGTGCTTTTGGAGCTTCTGGCTTCGATGGGGCTCCGTGCACGGCAGGAGATCCGACTCCGCATCCTGATCCTCGCCTTCGTGGCCCGCAGCGATCCGGATGCTGCGGTGAAGCGCGTGGCCAGCAACGTCTGGCCGTGCCCTCAGTGAGTCCGTTTTGGAAAGGGAAAGGTGGCCTGACTGCTTGACTGGTTGATTGGGCTTGTAGCCACAACTGAAATACTTTCAGCCTGTTCTCGGTTTGACACTGTCCAAAGTGGTTTCTATCAGTAGACGTGCGCAAATGGAGGGTTGCCCTTGATCGCGTCAGCCTGGCAGCTGTTCATAACTTGCCGTCGCCAAACTGGCGTGGCATGGCCTCATGCCGCGAACGTGTTCATTCTGCTCTGCTCGCATCGCCCAGGAAGACCTCCGGCGGCTCACCCAAGATGCAGTGCCCTGGACTGGCGAGATATGGCCAGTTAAGACCATTTCAAACAGCGGGATGCGGAATTGGCCGAGACAGCTTACCAAGGAAGACCATCGCCCAAGAGCTGACTGACACCATTGCAAAGTGGCGTTCAGGCGCCCTTATCCAGCTTTGCGCTTAGGGCTCCAACGGTTGGACATGCAGGTGCCATGGGTGCCGGGCTGCAGAAGGTTGCAAAGGAGGCGCTTGCCGAGATGGTCAAGGTGCCCGGACACCATGTGCGCATGGCACGAAGTGAGGGCTCTGGGCCCTGGACAGGCCGGCGATGCCGAGCAGCCAGCTGAGGAGCCCGAGGCGGCAAACTGCACAGTGTAAAGCTTTCTGAAGTGGCCCACAAAAGCCCATGTTGCAACGGGAGGCTGTCAAGACTGACTTCGCTTTCGAGCCCGCGAAGACCTCGAACGAGGAAGCCACTCGCATCGCTGCAGGCCTATGGATCAATATCCTGGGATGCGTAGGTCGAGCAGAGTTTGATGGACGCAAAAGTTTAGACTCGCCTCGATGCAGTGCGCATGTTGGACATTGCGCAGCGAAGCATGTAACAATAATAATCATAATAATAACAATCATAATAATAATAGCTGTAATCACTTTAATAACAATAATAACAATAATACCAATAATCATAATGACATTCTGCCAGTCCTCCTCCTCGGCCAGGCGAGTCTCCCAACAGTCAAGAGGAAGGTGATGTTGCAACGAAGGAGGAGACTTGGACCTGGCACAATCTGGGCGGTTGAAAGGTGGCAGTTCATCAGAGCCAAGGATTGCCAGATGGTGAAAGCGGTCGGTGGTTTCTTCGAGAAGAAGACTGAGTTTGGTTCCCTGCCAGGTGCTGCATGTTGCATCTTGGCTGGCCGATCCAAACGCGGAGTCTTTGCCAGGAGACCTCCAGAAATTCCTTTTGGCCGTTTCTGCCAGTGTCATCCGCGAGGGCCACAAGAAGAAGCTCTGCTACAATTTTCGGAAAGTGTTGTTTTGCCAAGTGTGGCTTACTCACCCCTTCTTTGGACTTAAGACATTTTGGCCGGCCACTCATTCTTTCTAGCTGCCAAGGAAGATGCCGGGATCCAAGGTCGTGGAGGACTGACATGGCAAACATGCTGGACTTCTTTGCTTTAGCCGTCGCCATGGTTTCGGGTGAGGAGCTTCAGCTGGCCCTCCAGCAAGCTTGTGGCTGCTGCAAGGAACAGGCAGATTAGAAGGGAGCTTATGATCCTTGTTCTGCTATGACGCATCAAGTCTACGAAGGCCGAAGGCTTCCTCAAGACGTTGCCAGAGTCGTCGGAGGCGACGAGATCCGATCGCAGCATGTGCGTTTGCAAGGCACTTCGCCAAGCTCCAGAAAGGATAGTGTTACCTTGCAGGTCGGGTCAAGGTAGCACCTCACACTCTGTCGTCTCTCATGGCTGTATCATACGAGAGGCCAGCCAAGCTAGGCTGTCCTCAGCTGGGAGGAATGATTGAAATGTGACACCTCTCCTCCTCCTCCTCCTCCTCCTCCTTCTCCTGCCACACCACCGCCACTGCCACTGCCACGACGCTACGACCAGCACCACCATCACTTAGCCAAAGGACGTTTTCGGCCTAACACGTGCCCTGGAGATGCTGTGAGTTTGCAGAGATCAACACTCCAAGTCGCAGTATTCTTGGGCTAGCAAAGCAGCCCACGGAAACCACAGTTCCTGATCCACCTGAATGCTTGGCCGGTCGGCTTTTGCTCGCCGGTCTTGTTAAGACTCTCTACAGCTGTCGTAGGAAGCGCCAGCTCCAACTCCTAAGCATGTCAACCGTGGACAGGCTGTGGCGCGTGAGGCCCTTGGTGCGGACTTCGACGCATTGGCGGGTGCGAGATCCCGGAGTCCTTGGGTGATCATGGGTGCAGGGCTTGAGGGCAACGGAAGTGTGCGCCGACATGTTCCAGGTTTTCCGGCCAATGCGTAGGTTAACCGTTTAACCGACGAAACCAGCGTTGCGAGAGACCTAGATCAGAGACCATTGCCGAGGGTCACTGGTTTGATGGCAGGCGAGGGTTACGATGCCGATACTCTGTTGCGCGTGGAGAACATGTTGCTGAAGCTCGCCTGCAGCATGATAAACAGATAGTCAGGGGTCTTAGGAACACTTCTTCGGGTTCTGGAGTCTTGCCCCGCGGTGCTGATGGACAGGGCTATTGGTTTTTATTTCAAATCTTCATTACTTTCCAAGCCTGCCAAGCACCGAAGGGTCAATGCAGTTTCAGATTGTCAACGACTGTTCTTCGGCATCCGAGGATGTACGGGGCGGGCAAGCTCCTTCTGAAGGAGTTTTTCTGCTTCGTACCTTCTCTTCCCTTCATCCATTAGCTGCAGGGTGACCATGAGTCGTAAGCGACCCGCAGGACACGCTCCTCGAACTGAAAGCCAATCGTCGCTACGGTGTCGTTGGTCACAACGGTGCCTTCACTGCATGTGACTGCATGCCTTGCCTTGCTTCGGGCATCTTCTTTGAAGACCGGTGCTGAGGGCTGAACGTGTCTACCTGCTTGCATGAAAAGATGTCATCTGGATAATTATGTTGTGCAGGAGCAGGCAAAACGACATTGATGAAAGAGATCGTCCATGGCCGCATTGTGGGCATGCCGACTCATCTTCGCTGCGTTCACGTCGACGATTCCAAGCTGGGTGCGCATCCGCATAAGCCACTGTTTCATGCTGTTTTGCACGGGTCGGAGGCTGTCAGTGCCTTGCGCTGGCAGGAGAGATGAGCAAAAGCAGCTTGAATGCCTTGGAGTACGCGTCGTGTCTGCAAGTTACTGTAGTTTCTTCAGGACAGTACCGATGCACTGGTTCCAGTGCCTGTGTCTCAACTGCCATTGCAAGGTGAAAATGAAGGCCATTGAGATTGGCGTCACGGATGCCAGCGCAGACAACCTCCGAAGAGTTGGCTTTCCAGAGAAGATGTCCGGGTCTGACGATCGTAGATCGTAGGGACTGACGTGGCGCATGACGTGTCGTCGCACTTGATCAGGTTTGAGGTGCCAGTGGCCGAGCTTTCCACAGGATGGCGCATGCGGCTGACCCTGGCCGTGTCGGGGTCCGAGAGCGAGAGCAGATGGAAGCCTGCGCTCTGAAAAAGGGGAGTGAAGTCTGCTCTGCGGCTCCCGCAGGTCCATGCTCAGGCACGCAGACATTGTCCTGCTGGATGAGCCCACGAATCACTTGGATCAGGCACTGGTTCAGATGCTCCTACGGTCTCGAGTCTCAATCTGTCGGAAGCCAGGAATCTGTGGACTGGCTTGGAGATTACCTCCTCTCTCTGACGAAGTCTTCCGTTATGGCTCCTTGTTCGATTCCTTTCTGTACTCTCCATGTCAGGTTCAGGGAACCGCATGTTCAGTCAGGTCATTTCCCACGAGCCCAAGTTCCTCAACAAGATCTGCACCGACATTATCTCCTACAAGGACTTCCGATGCCCCCCGCAGAGATAGCAAAACCTGCTAGGCCTGGGGCCTCATAAGCCTCGCCGCATAGGACAAGTCGCTGGTTTATACGGCAAGCCGGCTGCAAGAAGACAACAGAGGTAATCATGAGTCATGCATCAACGAATCGGGAAGGCCGTTCTGCCGTCCCGGAGCTACGTGCAGCCGAGGAAGGAAACTTCGATGCTTTCGTCATGGCCAAGGGCATCAAGGCTGACGACATCGAAGCGCTGCTTTCCGGCAACTTGAAGCTCGACGAGGCCCCGACTACATCGTGAAGCGACGGCATGCCATAGAGTTTCACAGTCTTTTGTAGTTCGGATCTGTTGTTTGCAGCCTGCCGAAACCGCGAAATGCCGTGAACATGTCCCCACATTGAAGGACGAAGAGGGCGAAGAGGGCGGTGACGACAAGAAGGCGGCCATCGTTCAAGCTCCCATTGCCGGTCCGCCCAAGCAACCTGGTCGAACGACTCGTTTGCAGTGCAAAGCATCCCATAATGCGTGTTTGCGGTTGAGGATTGCGTTCCCGATCCCTGGTTCCGTGGAGGGAGTGAAATCCAGCTCCAAGGCACGGCTGAGCATGGTGAAGCCACACGAAGACCATGACCCCGATCCCGGAAAGCCCGTTAGCTGCTGTGAATCCACTGCAGGCCGTCATTGAGTTCAAGAACCTGTCTTTCCGCTACGGCAAGGCTGGGCGGCTCAGGGTTCTCGTGCCACGTCTTCGGGAGCACTGCGTCGAAATTCTCAGGACAAGGACTACCTGATCAACGATGTGGCTGGTAAGCTGTCTTTGGGCTCTCGCGTTGCCATCTGCGGACGCAACGGCTTCTCTGCTCTTCTGCGTAGTGTTGACGTCGTGTTCCTGGGACGGTTGAGAGTGTTGAGAGTTGAGAGGGCACTATTTGGCTGCTCTGTAAAAAGCTCACAGAACTGTCGGGAGAGAGTCATGCTTGAAACGGCAGTCGTGATATAAGGTTGCGGAAAGTCCACCCTGATGACACTGATTTGTTCAGAGATGAATGCCACGGAGGGCAAGGACCACCGTGCAGTCTGTGCGGAGCTGCATGACCGCTGTTGGCTTGCCATGATGTAGCCCTTGGCCATGATGCCAAATTGTACAATAGATGCGAACCAAGTTTCCCCATACCGTAGCCGGACCAGCGCCCTTCCGCAGGACGGTAAGCTTGGCGACGTGACTCGCCACTGCAACTTGCGAGTGGCCTACATGAAGCAGGTGCTTCTCGGAACGTCTCTGATGGGCACTGACACCGCTGGGTGCCTCTTGTCAGGACCACCTCAAGACCCTCGGACCATACTTCGACGCTTTCTTGCAAATACAATTGGAGTTGGACATGGGGATTGCAGCTGAACCTTTCGTTCAAGTCGCTTAGCGTTGAGAATGCTCTGCTTTGCGAGAGCCAGCTTTTCAGGACACATCTCCCTTGAACTACATCACCCAGCGGTTCAAGAATGGCTACGACGAGGCCCGTGGACCAGGGGGAGAGCGGAGAAAGCCCTTGCCCTGTTTTCTTGTGGCTACTTTTTCTTCTCTCCGTTACCCTCTAGGAGCTGCAGAAGCGCCTCATTGAGCCCGAAGATGACGAAGAGGCGGCTCGACGTGCCACCCTCGCCAAGCAGCCGCCGGGCAGCAGCCGTGCCAAAAGCAGTTGCAAAAAATGTTGCAAATCGTCGGCACATGGCAGCAAAGGCATGGAAAGTACGGGAACCAGGTGGGCGAGCTGCTGAGTCGAAGCAAGCAGGGCAGCCAGCTCTACTACGAGGCACAGCTTGACAGTTTTACGCATCGGTTCGAGGGTCGTCCAGAAGCTAGATGTCTGTCTTTGCGCGTCGAAAGCCACGATTCTGAAGCTGGCAGGTCAAGTGGGAGGGCCTGGACGACCCAAAGCAGACACTTGATTTTCGAACATGTGCGAGCGAAGAGATGTGTCAGTACAGCCAGTGCAGCATGGACGGGGCTCGTTGTGCCAAGGAACACCATGGTGTCCTTGAAGACTTTGAGGGACATGAGCAGCTCCAGCAGCACTGATTCTGGGTTTTGGATCGTTGTTTTGTTCTCCATTCCGCGGGTTACTTCGCAAGGCAAGGATGCGAATGATTTGTGTCTCTTTTTACATCACAGGCCTGGACAAGGTCGTCATCGCCTGCGACGAACGAATCGCCGCCAAGGTTGGTTTTGCTACAGTCACAGTCTCTGTGTGTGTGTGTGTGCGGGTGGGTGGGTGGGTGGGTGTGTGTGTGTGTGCGGGTGTGTGTGTGTGTGTGTGTGTGTGTGGGTGGGGTGTGTCTGTCTGTGTGCGTTTTCACGTCGCAGGCTGCCGGATTGGACCAGAGGCCACTGACTCGAAGCAGCTCTGCCTGAACAAATAACACCGAAGAAAGGTTCTTCCACCTACGAACGAGTGGGCTTAGAAGTGCAGTGGACGACGTCTCGCCACCAAGGAGAAATCACCAAACACTGCGAGGCTTTCGGCATTGACGAGGACTGGCCCCCCATTTTGTTTGATTGATTTTCATGTCGACTCATCGTGTTTTTGAATGGCCGCTGTGGGCAAAAGCCGTCCAAGATGGCTCCTGCTTGGAATGTTCGGGGACATCCAGTTGCTCTGCCGCGCGACTGCTTTCCAGGAGATGTGCTGCAACCAGCAGATTCGAGGATTTTCCGCTGGCCAGAAGGCCTTGAAACCTGAATTCGAGATAATTGTCATGAGTATTCAGGGCCGGAGAGTCTGGATGCAATCTGCATGACGGCATGGTGGGGTTCCTTCTTTTCTGCCTACGAGCTGCCACATCCATTCGGCAATCCCTGCTTCTGCTAAGCGACCATCGCTCCATCAATGTCAAGTCTCAGGTGCGCCTGTCGTTGGCTGCCATGTCTCTTGGCAGCATTGTGTGTGGGGTCTCTTGGGGAACCGGCGTATGAGTAGCATGCCGCCACAAAAGCATCCTCACAACTTCAGGTTCTGGACAAAGCCCCACTTCATTGCCGTGGACGAGCCTACGAATTACTTGGACGTCGAGACGGTCGAAGCTCTGTCGAAGGCCTTGCAGAAAGTGCTTCGGGTAAGTCCACATGTTGCAGACGCCAGGTCTACCTGCAACTGTGTTGAGTGATTCGTAAGCTCCAGCTTGGCAGGCCTTGAACAACTTCAGAGGAGGCCGCCCTTGTCAGGGCATGTAGGGGGATGTGAACGGGTTTTGGACTTAAGAGCGGCCTCAGGCATCCTGATGATTGAGCCCAAGATGGACTTCGTCGAGAAGGTTTGCAATGAGACCTGGACCCTGGAAGACGGCAAGCTGAAGGTGGAGAGGCTCAGGCTGCAATCAGAGGCTTTGCTTTCTCTTAATCGAATCGGCGCAGACTCACTCAGCACGTGAGTTTTTCACGACGAGGAAGCTTGACAACGGGCTGAAGCGTGTGGCGTGAGAGTCCAGCTTGGCCCGGGCCCCGATGCAAGTGCAAGGTGCATCTGCAGTTGCAGCCTCTGAACATGCAACTCAGGCTTTCATCCCCAGTTAACGTCAAGGCACGGATGAGGGTTCGTGCAGAGGGCAGCACGACCCCCGACAGCAGTGATGACAGGTCATCATAGGTTCACCAAGCTGCTATCAATGCACGTCACGCTGAGCCCTTCCTCGGCCAGGCTAGCGGCGGGATATGCCCCTGCCAAATACGAATGGCTTGGCAACACACTTTTCCCAAAAGTGCCAGAATGACTTGTGACAGGTTACTGCAACCGACTGTCGCCAATCATCGAAAGCTTGTGTCGGAATGCGACGGGGCTAGGTCTGCAAAATAGAGATCCTGGGCACTGACGATCGTGCAGCACCCGTTGTAGACTCTAGACAGCATGGCAGCGGGCTGCAGGCCAAGGTAGCAGTAATCTGTATTGTTTTCCCCGGTGCATCTTTGCATCTTTGCCTGTACAGCACCAATTCTGCCTCACCCAAAACAACCCGCAGGAGCGTGCCTCCAGAAGCCGGGATAGAGCAGCCCATTCGACGGACATGCGTGCCTTCACCTAGGATCAGAGAGGACCTCCAGATCTGGGCCGGGTGTTCTCGGTGTTAGTTACATACCATATGAAAGACACGGGATGTTGACGGAACAGTAGGCTTAGTCTTAGTCCGATCGAGTGGTGACATGCGCTTGCTTGCTATGCTGCAAAGAAGAAATGGATGTTCCTGAACCGATCTAATTTGATCTAATTGTCTTGGGACCTTGAGTTCAGGGCTGAAGTCCAGCGAATGGCTGCGAGGGGATTGGGAGGCAGCACAGTATGGTGGGGAGCGAATCTTCTGTTGTGCAAAGCTGGAGTTCGTCTCCATGACTCCTGGTTTAAACCCGCCTCTGTGCTTTCGAATCCGTCTGCTTGTGACAGACAGTGGGCAATTTTTGCACGTGGCGGTCAAATGTGCCGCCCTGATTTCTTGACAGAGTCTCGCATCTGACAGATGTCAGGGCAAGACTCGACATGTTAGGACTTGTGCATTTTCCTGTCATGATCTCCTGTTTCGTAGAGCCCTCCCGCTCGATGTTGACACGAGCATATGGCATATATGGCATAGGTTCAGGATATGACCAAGCTCCGTTTCAATCTTTTGACTTCCTGACTCTCGTTCTCCATCGTTGTCCATCGAAACTTGAGCCATGCGGGTGGGAGCCGTACTGACCGGAGCGAGACGAACTTCGCTTCGGCGCCTCGGCAGAAGAGGCACTTAGACTTGGTCTTTCTGGGAGTAGCACCAAAGAGAAGGAGGAATCTTCGTCGCAAGACAAAGTAGGATCAGCAAGGCATTAGGCTTGCTAGAGGGCCTTTAGGGTCTCGTCTCTGGGAGCTGATGCTGCTCCGCGTTTCTCTGAGGCCGCCGGCCAGGGCAACAGGCCCGAGATATCCGCATGGCTTCTTGCCCAGATGCAGTGTCACTGGAGGGTTTAGGGGTTTAGGGGTTTAGGGTTTAGGGTTCGGATGCTTCCAGGTTGCTTGGAGCTTGGTTGACGAGTTGAGGGTCCATGTCAAGACTGCGCAGGGCACTACCACGGTGCCGCGGAGCTCAAACTCTGGCCTCATGCTCTTTGGCCTCGGTTTAATATATAATATATAATATATAGTAGGTTTCAGCGTCACTTGCCTCGGTCCTCCCGGTGGTTCTCTGAGGCCTTGGAGCAGGAGGCTGTTGGGCACGGCATAGTGCCTTGACGCCAAAGGGTTGCTGGCTTCGTATGGTAGGCTTGCAAGTGGGGAGTCCATCGTCCTATGGTCAGCCGTTTCCGGTTTTCTCTTGGAGAGGTAGGGAGGGGTATTGCATGACCGGCCGATTCGGCTCCTGAAGCAAAGATTCCCCCAGGTGTTTGGTGCCAGGAGGCCGACCTGAGGAATTCTCAGTGCGCAGCAACCCGGCTGCTTCAACGGGGGGGTGTTGGTACGGAACGGCTGAAGTTGGCGCGGTTAGACTCCAACATGGCATGCGTTTGAAGGCATTTAGGCTCAGCAGGAGTTTCGAATGAAATCCTGGCATCGGAATTCGCGATCCTTGGGGCCCCAGAATAAGTTCCGTGATGATAGCCGCCTGCTATGTGAGGACGTACAGCAGGTGTTCACTTTGCAACCAGGCATTGTCCCGACCCAAGAATTTATCTCTTCCGCATCTACACCGTGCAAGTATCACGAAGGAGAGGCTGTAGAAGTGAAAGAGGTAACAGTGTGAAAGAGGGAGGCCGAGCAGGAGGAGCTCATGAAGGAACTGAGGAAGTTCCAGCTGAGGGCTCAGGAGCTTTATGAAGAAGGGGAGCACCAAAATGAGCCTCCGCCGATGTCAAAACAGACGACGGCACCACGACAGAGATCTACACTGCGGCCGATGCTCCCGGCCACACCGCCGGTGGTAGCTTCACCGTTGCGGTCAACAGCCTTTGTACCTCATGAGCTTCGTTCCATACAGCCCTTTCCCTGGCTGAGGCCCGAGTTTGTCGCACTTTGCTGTATTTCCCGCAGTACCTCTTCAGGTGCGCATGTGATCTTATCCCGTACTGGCAGAAGCAGCTGAAGACCAGACCAAGAGTGGCCGTGTCGAGATGAGCCCCTATGGCATTGTCGGGTACGTCATGGTACGTCTGCTTGCTGCGCTCCTGTCAACGGGGCACAGATACCGTGAATGTGCAGGCGCCAATGAATACCACACCGGGTTCGCAAAAGAAAGGAACCAGGGCCTCTCATGTACCCAGACCACTTGTAAAATGGCGGGAAGGCTATGCCCACTCAGTGATCAGAAAAGAGCGCAGACAAGGCAGACTTCATATTTTGGCGAGGCTCCGAGAACTGCTCCGAGAGGAGGTCGTTCGTGTTGCAGCTTTTGGCAGAGGCCTCTGCCATGTCCAAGGATGTGCTACACGCGCACATCCTTCGACATGGCGAAGGGACTACAACACACATCCGTGGTCCGTGATCTTTACCACGCAAGAGCCAAGAAAGAGGATTGATCATGCGGTCCGCGATGGCCCCTGTACATGCACACCCCGGGCAGCCGCCAACATGGCTTGCGAGGTTTGATGAAAAGAAGGGATTCTGTCTAGAGTGTGCAAGGACATGTCGTGGTCTGCAGGGGTATTGCGGGTCTGCGAGCATGCAGTGTAGGGACGAGCTTGCACTACACAAGCTTGCAAACTTAACGATCTGCCCACCCCCGACGCTTCCGATGTCCGTTACGGATCCCGTCCTGCTCCGTCAGGTTTCTCTGCCAAAACTGGCGACACACGCGACCAGCGTGTGCAATCGAATTTAGCCTTTCAGCCGGCTTTTCAGCCAGCTCTTGCACCCGATGCGATGAAGCTCAGTGCTTTCCCGAAGGGTATAGGCTCTCAAATCGACTCTTTCTTGCTTGTGGGGGAAAAATCGATGTGTCTGGTCCTGGATACTTGTGCAAGAGATCTGCATGTGCAGCGACAGTGGTGCCTTCCCGCAGCTGTGCTTATGGTCTCTTATAGGCCCTGGTGACTCTAGTTGTCGAAAGCGTTGAGATGAAGCTTCTGCTTCTGCTCCCCCTGGCAGCGAGCCTGGGGGCCGTGCTTGACGGGGAAGACCCGCTGGTAGCGGCTGTGGATGACGTCGCTTGGCGAGCACGTGGGGAAGCATTGAGTTGAGGTGTGGTGTCGAGCTCCAAGCATCTGCCCATTTTCCGGCACACCTGTGTCGTGTGGGCACGGTGGCCCCTTCTCCATCCTTTGTTTTATAAGGTTTCGGACTCTTCGAGCACATACCTGTGCGAATTCGCTGCCGTAGGTCACAGAATGTCACAGACATCTGCAATCCTTCAGATGACACAGCGAAGCTTAAAAGCCGAACTGCCTCGGCTTGAAAGGCCAGGCTGCCAGCTGGCTCTTCACCCCTTTCTGCTCCCCACAACGAACTGTGCTCACGGCAGCTGACGCACTCGGGAATCCTCCGTGATTTTGTTGTATTTGGGATCCTTTGGGCATGTGCTCCCAGAAACTGGTGCTACGCCTGAGGAATGCGCCGCAGACATGCCATGTGCCTTGCAGGCCCGATCGGTCCGTCCCAAATCTGAAGTCAGCTTGAGACTTAATCGTCGTCAACCCCGAAAGGCCACCCAACTGCGTGCGCAGCGATCCCAGTCTGAGGTGGGCGATGACTTTTTCGCACGGGCTAATTTTGTCCTCTTTGCTTCTTGCTCTCGCTGACTGTCTTACCTGCGTTTGCTTCCCCAAAAATTTGGCCTGGAAGCAGGAGAATGAAAACATCCAGGAACTTGACGGAGATGCCACCAACACATCGGGTGGTCAGCTTGCAAATGTCAGCGATGAGGCGGCTTCAGATCTGGACGAAGTTCAGGTGGGACAGGAGTAGACTCTGCATCTGCCTCAGTCGCAAAGGTTGTCTTGGTGAGTTAGCAGGAAGTTCATCTTGGATCCATCGCAGACGGTCCAGAGGCGAGCTATACCAAAGAGCCTCCAGCTGCAGTTGAGGCCAAATCTTGCAGTTCCTTGTCACGATGTCTCAAGTGGGTCCTCTGCTTCGCGTTCACACAGCAACTGTTGTGCTGTTGCAGCTTTGAGGAAGAGTTGATGGCGTTGATGGCCCTAAGCCGCAGTGACAAGCAGCAACGCGCCAATGGCACTGACGAGTGGGGAAGTTCTGGGCCGACGCAGTCCTTTTCTTACACCAAGCAATGCTACAGCAGCTCAGTTGCACATATCCAGTCTGCTTCAGCGGAACTGAGCGTCCCAGGAAACCTCAAACTCAGAGTGATAAACTCAATGTTCATTGTCTTTCTTGCAAACTCCCAGAACGAGCAGAAGCGTATCTTTATGAGTGCAAACACCTCAGGTTTCACCGGCGGCGTTTGCACCAGCAAAATCTGCGATTACAACCGGTTGTCTCAGTGCGTCGCGGGAAAGTGCGCCGGCAGCTGAGCAGATTCAGATTTTGAGCAGCTTGACAAGCCTTGGAAGGCATGTGCAGAACCCTGTGTGACCGTGACCCACCGTGAGGTGTGCCCGGGTGGCTGTGCTGGGGCAGACGGCAGGCTTGGATCCAGCTTCAGGTGTTTAAAAGCAGCTAAGCCGTGTCTTTCGAAGCCTTTGGCTCTACCGGGGCTGTGATGTGTGGCAAGGTGCTACAATGCCGGCAACATTCTCGTGGCCAGTGGCTTCACACTGAAAAATGCAACTGGCATGCAAAGTAGTCGTGGTGGATTGACTGACCAGCTAAGCAAAGGCACATGTTGCTTCGGATTTCTTTCATCTGTGAAGATATCCGGGCAGTTCTATAGGAACTTACAGAATGCAATCTGATGCCGGTCAGGTGAAGTGGCCGAAGTACAGGATGTATTTCAAGCGTGACCTGGCGGAGACTGTCAAAAGGGGAGCCGATTTCTACTTCAGAACTGCCAGACGTAGGAACGTGGGATTGTGGGCCGCAGAGCTAAGGCATCGACAGTCCCACTCAGCATAGAGGCCTAGAAGTAGTCGGAAGTTAAGGAGTGAGCGCCTTCAACCAGATGGGCACCTCCAGCATGCCGAGCTTCAGCTTCATGGGCTCGGACCGCTTCGACCTCTACCGGGTGCCAGGCGCCCCATTTTTTTCCGGGAGGATTCTGTGAGGTGCCCAGGGTGGGGATGCTTGGGACGCTGCTTCAAGGGAGGCTTGCGTTCTCACGATTGGAGCTCCGCCGTTTCAGTGGAGTTTGAACGCGGTCAGGCCTTGTGTCTACGGCTCGAAAGGGCGGTTGCAACATTTTGCCTTCGTCGCTACAGCGTTTCAGTGACGGAGAGGAATGAGAGACATGCATGCCATCCAGGCAAAAGGCTGACAGAGGAAGGTCGTGCGTTTAACACTGCTGCTGCTCCCGCAAGGCCTTTTCAAGGGGAGGGCGCTGTACTTCCTCGCTTCGCACAAGTGGCCTGAGTACGTACTAGTGCCTCGGCAAAACGGCCGCCGGATAGGAGATCGGACTGACCAGGTCCATGTCCTTCTACGCATAACAAGGTCACCGTTCCACTGAAGAGCAGTAGCTCGCTTACATCAAGCTGTTGTCTGTATCACTGAGGCCATTCGAGCCACAGTTGGAACTGCATTCAGCCCATTTGGCACGTACACCGTCAAGTTGAAGGACTTACCATGAGTGGCATAATCAGCTTCATCTATGTAGGTTCGCTGTTGCCGCATTTTCTTCCACACCGACTGCCTCTCGATGCCAGTAGTCTGCATGCGGATCTCTCGGGCATGCCCCGAGGACTCGTCTGCGCCATGGAAGCCGGAGACTCGCCTAACAGATCATCTCGCAATCCCAGCATTGCGTCTCTAAGGTTTTTGCCAAGCCTGCGGTTGTGTCAGCTCAGCACTGACTGTAAAGGGTACATCTCGTTTGTCATCAGTTGCCACTGCAATAAAGCAGCAGGTACGCACTCGGGGGCTTTTCGTGCAGCAGTGAACTGTACTGAACTGTACTTTAGTCAGGGACATCCGTAGTGGCGGTTGGAGCGAAGAATAACTGCGCTTGCGAGAAAGAAGCGTCTTTTGCGCATTTTGAATCTTGAACTCCCGCTCAAGCCCAGGAGGACATTATGCTGCGGGTCTGCAGCATGGTAAGCTACGGCAAGCCCAACGAGATCAGATTCGGCAGTGCTGGAGCAACGAAGCCTGGCAGGAAGATTCCTTGAAGATGTTGGCTTACGTTGACCTCGCTGTTTGATTTTCGGAGTTCCGATCTGCAGTTGTCACCGCGCATTTCGCGTATTGAAGCAGGTTTGAAAAGGTTTCCTTAAGACATCATCCAGTCAAGGATCATAGATGCAAGCTGTGAGGCATACTATCTGGGCCTACGTGCACAGCGGAGACTGGGATGTCTGGGGCGCCATGACCTCCCCAGGCAGCGTATGAAGCGGTCATTGCTTTGGAGTGGAGGAGAGTCGCAAGAGTGATAACGACAACTTGCGGGGTAAGCAGCACAGCGGGTCGTCTCTTTGTGGGTTTGCTGTGATGCATTGCCCGACGCTTTTTGCCTCCTAGGGCTGCAGCATCGGACGTGCAGGCACTGGCGGCAAGTGGATCGCAGATCCACCAATCCCGGCAGGATCCATTTCTCCGTGCTAAGTTTATGGACGCCGTGTGCAATGTTTTTACGTCCTGCAAGGTCAGGCGCAGAATTTATCGGCAGCATCTCAGAAGGGCCAGATGGCTGGAGCAACAGACGTTTTGGCATTTTCGGAACCTGTGCATCCTCACACAGACCCAAGGAGGCCAAAGAGTTTGGAGTGGTTGAGGTTTCGATGCTCCAAATGGACCCCTTGCAGGCAACAGCAGACAAGAGCTTGTTGGCCAAGGGAAATTTAGTCGAGATCTGCTTGGCAGCCGATGTTTGGAGATGATAGTTGCGTTGTCGGCAAACAAAGACAGCTTGTTCATCCTGAGCATGTGCGAGCAGTTCCAGCTGAGACACTTGCGTCCCTTGGACCAGTGTGATGGGAACAAGGTAGTCCTAACAAGTCCTCTGCGCCGATGCCGATTGCAGCCAGATGCTGGCATGATGATGTCCACTTGCTCATATGCAGGCTTTTTATGAAATTCATGTCATGTGGCAGCACAGACACACCAACTTCGACTTCCGGCAGTTGAGCAACATCAGATGGCCTGAAGACAATCTTCGTAGGGTTATCAAAGGCGCGTTGAGATGGTAGACGAAACGCTTGCTCGATACGCGTGCTGGATCAGCAGTCAGGCGGGGCGCCATGAGAGCCGGAGGGCCGGTGTGTAAGGGCTCAGGGCTTAGGGCCTTTAGGGGGGATCGTTCTGTGACGGGTTTTGGCAGTCTGGCGGAGGCTGCTCTCGCGTCCGGAATGGACCAGAAGTTGTGGGGCACTGACTCCTCCAAAAGGGACGGAGCCTGCTTTTGACTTGTCTCTGCACACTGAGGACTGCCCTCTCACGACGCACAGCGGCGGAGTTCCGGAAGGACAGTCGGATGTCCCGCAGCCACGCACATCGTAAGCTTTTGCCAGTGAAGAGTCCTCCAGGCAGAAGCAGAGCATGCCGATCTGGCGACACGGATCGGTCTTCTGGAGGCTTGCTGCTGCAGGCCTCGGGTTGCATACCCTTGGAGCGGTCACAGCACTGCAAGTAAAGACTCTCACTAGCTGCCCTTGCAGCGAACCTGTGCAAGACCTTCTGTATGGGTGGGTGGCTGCTACACTGCTACATGCTGCCACACTTCATGCATCCCAGACACCCTGATGGCTGGGCAGGGCTGGGCTGATGAGCTCAGAGTCCATCCCTGAGGGATGTCTGTGCAGGTAGCCCGTGCTAAGCCTTCGCTCTTGCATCTTCAGAGATCACAGCTGGCGCTGAGGGTGGACGTTTCATTTTCCAAGCCGGTGGCAGGCAGCATCTGGGGCTGGCACCGCAGTATAACTTGTCAAGAACTGGTGACTAGTGACTATGGAAGATATGGAAGAAGGGGCGCTTCCACACGAGCTGCAATTGGCAGGGTCCTTTTACCGAAACCTTGGCATTGCCTCTGTGTCACAGTTAAAGAGTCAGAAGCGAAAGCCACAAGCCATCTCTCTTCGTCCAGCTTTCATGATCATTGGCTCTCTGCCCATTCTCCAGGTTTCATGGTCTCTGGGACGGAGCTTCTTGTGTTTCTGTGCTGTCCGTGGCAATCTTGCTACCGCGACGAGGTGACGAAGCCCCAGGTAGGCACATCGCTGAGCTTGTGCCTCAGATGTCCGGCAGTCTAAAAAAAGACTGCCCTGCATGGCAACGAGGGTTTTGATAAAAACACCCCTCTTAGAGCTCCTGCTCCTGCAACCAAGGCCGCTCGAGCAGCAATGCCGCGGACTCGTAGAGGCCAGCAGGATAACTACGACAATGCTGTATTCTCCGGTCATTCTTCGGTACCGGGTGTGGGCTATGAGAACGGACTGAGCTAGCCGTCGGAGTCTGTGCCCTTGCTCGGAAGCACGTGGCCGCAGCAATTGAGGTTTAAGGCTCCAGGTTGAGGCTTTCAAATTGATTCGTCCATGCAGGTGTAAGAATTGAAGGGAATTTGCATCCCGTGCCTTGAGGTTTCCTTCCCAACTTTTGAAAAGTGCCTGCGGCGGGGCGCCATGGCAGAGCAAGCGCGTTGCAGCCATGGATGCGCTCTCCTCGCGCAATTTTGGGGTGCCACGACCTTATATAACCCAATTTTTGTCTTTTGTGTTCGATGCGAGAGGAGGTCTAGAATTGCTTATATACACCAGGGTGCCTCCGGTGCGCAGGCGTGGGCCTTTGGGTGTACATCTTTGTGGACTGCATAGCAGTGGAGCTGGGGCGCGGTCTGCAGCCGTTTAAGCGGATGGACCTGACTGGCTTGCAGTGGGCTGGCTATGCCCGCAGCCTCAGTTATGGTAGCCTAGTTATGGAGGTCTAGGCGTTTAATTCTGTCGTCTGGGCAGATGTGAAGACGACAGTGCTTGTTGACTGAATGCCTGCATCCGCCCGTGTGCTGTTGCCCTCCCGATCTGCAGACTTTGCAGTGTCTGACAGAATGAATCTGGGGATGCCTTGCGTTCCGTTAACTATCTGAGGCAGCAATCGCGATTTCCCTCTGGCTGGTGGAAGGCGTGCGAGCATTTCAGATGAGCTTCTCCCCCATGCTTGTCCGAAGGGCACGTGAGCTTCGAGAAGACTCTCCAATGTGGGAGAAAATCTTGGCACCATTTTTCGTGGCCGGACTGGTTTCAGCCACGCCCGGCAGGTTAGTCAAAAGCTGGCTGCTGATTCTGATCCTTATCCCCGGTCTGGCTCTGTCTGTTCCGCACTTGCCTTATCCGTGGCGCGAGGCAGTAGATGCAGGAGTCGTCTTGGGACTGGGCTGGGGTACGGCGGCTGTGGCCTACTTTTGGCTGAAGGGATGGTTCGGCTCCAGCTGGCCTACGATCAGCTCAGACCTGCCAGCACATCGGATCAAGCCGACCGCAGAGGCCAACCGAGCTCCCCTCGCTGGGGCCGCGGTCTAGAGTGCTTGCAGCCCTGATGCAACAAGGAACTTCTGAACAGGCACATTTTCCGAGTGGCTTTTTGGGCACTCCAGGCTCCATCCGCCTGTCTCAGCAGGTTCGTACAGCTCAGCCGTCTGAATGTCAGTGTGCAACTTGTAGATTTGTAATGGCCATGACCCGACAAACTGACAGGAAGTACCAGCTCAATCGCTTTCGGCATTTTCAGTGCCATCCTACCCAAGATGAAACCAGTCAGGTCGTGGTCTCCTGTGCCGTGCTTCGGTAACAGGAATTGCACAAGAGAGAAAAGCCCTGCGTCCTCTGGAACTCTCGTGCTTTGTTGCAGCTGCAGAACATGCAGAGTTCATGCTAAATTGTTGCTTAAACATTGGATGACTTGATTCTCGTTGCCGCGATCTGGCCCTGAGGCCCTAATGCATACATGCATACACAGACATACAGACATACAGACATACAGACATACAGACAGACAGACAGACAGACAGACAGACAGACAGACAGACATACATACATACATACATGCATACATGCGCACGCACACGCTCACGGGCGCACTCAGAGACAGACAAACTTTGCTGTACACACGCACATACATATATGGATGCATGTATGCATACACACACACACACACACTCTCTCTCTCTCTCGCCTCTCTCTCTCTCTCTCTCTCTCTCTTTTCAGCTCTCTCTCTCTCTCTCTCTCTCTCTCTCTTTGTCTCCGTCTCCTTCTCTCACTCACTCTCTCCCTCCCCCTCCTTCCGTGCGCCTTCCGCCAGGACATGCTAGGGCGAGAGCTGCGCAACCTCGAACATATTGCTGCCCAGCTGCAAACGAGAAGAGTATCGTCATACTTTCCAGACTGGAGTCTGAACATTGCAACGACGTGGCAAGGAGGGCGCATGGGGTTGAGAGGTGTTGCTAGCGGAGCTTGGCCTTCAATAGTGAGATGTTGAGGCAAAGAGACATTCAGAGATGGAGGCCGATATGGAGCGAATTTGCCAGGACTGCTTGCAGCTCAACATTTCATCATTCTACAGCCCCTGTACACCCTGAAATAATAGCAAAAGCTGGGCTTGCACTGCACCAGGACTTCCAGAATAAGCTGGGCGCAAGCTGCTGCCAAGAGGCTGCATGAATCTGTCAATGCCGCTGTTAGGATCAGGGAGTGCGAATTGCAAGTTACTGTTGAGCGGGGATATTACAACCCTGTGGGAAATGACAGCTTGATGGGTCCAATGCAGCTTGAAGTTGAAGCTGAAGGACACGAGGCAGGGTTCCCATTTCAAACCTTCCTTTGTCGCGCTGCGAGGTGCAGCGGCTTGGGGCTCAGGCCAGAGCGAAGAGTGGACGAGAGCTCCGTGGAGCTTGGGTCGATAGGAATTCTTGTTGCTGAAGTTTGGTGTAGTCTCTCATCGTTGCAAGCAATTCATAGCGCCGGCATAAAATTCATTCCGTGCAGAGATGCGGCTGCATGCAGCTAATGACCGGCTTGTGCCGACCCTCTACACGACAACTCCTGGCTATTCCTGGCTCGCCAAACGGGTTCTAAGCTGCCCGCTGCCCAGGTTGTGTGAGGAAGTCCGTGGAGAGACCAGCCCCCGCCTTGGCAGCGCCGTGCCCCATCGAGTCACAGCATGGCCTAGCAGGCCGCCTGCAGGCCAAGCAAGCCTAGTAGGCCTAGCAGCCTCGTGATAGCCCCAGACGCCAGTTGTTGTCCTGGCTTATTTTGGCTCAGCGAAAGGAAGTAGGTCGGGAACCTTCACCCCACGCAGAGGCAGAAGAGCGCAGCTATTTCCACTGACGCGACTTGTTAGTGCAAAATCTGTGCCCGCAGGATGGCTGATCCAAGCTTACTCTCCTCTGGAGCGGGGCAGGGGCTCGTGAGATTCCTGTGACGTTCTCGGAAATCGGGTTTCTTGTCATATAAGAGAGGCTGCAATGTATGCCTGGAAGCAGTCTTGCAAACATCCTGCTGGGAACGTTCGTGCAAAGCAGGAGCCGGCACGGCATCAACTGCCAGTGTCTGGAAGCTTAGAGTGGCGAACTGTGCGAGTACCAGCTGGTAAGTGTGCACCTCGCAGCTGTACATCGGATGTCTACCTATTGCTTGCAGCCCATGCTGCAGCTGCTCGTCAATCACTTCTCTCGCATCTAGTCCGAGGCGGCAGCGCGGGCTGCGAACGCAGCTCGAACGAACAACGCTCCGTCTCCGACTCAAAGCATGTGCAGTGCAGCTGTCCCTGAGATGGTTTCGTGCCGCGTACCGTGGTAGTGAAGATTTGATCGGGATCTCTGCCCCATCAACTCAACGACACGCTCGTAGTTGCAGCTGCAGCTTTGTAGCAGCTTAGTTACTGTGCTGGCATGGGGACATGCATCATTGCTGTGGGGGAAACGGGTCCATGCACTCACAGATTCATTACGCTTACGAGGGGAATCTGAGGGGAGGGCCGTGGAAAGCAACTGTGCCAAGGCCTTTGCAGCCCATGCAGGTGGAGACAGGCCCGTCTCCTGCAGGTAGACCGGCATCGCCAAGCGGTTGAACGGCAGGGCCCGCCCCGGTGCAAACTGGCATCAGTGTCAACGATGCCATGTTTGTGAACGTCTCAGCCTGAGCAGGGGCACAATACCATCTGATGAGCCAATGCATGCTGGCATGTATGGATGTTTATACGAGTATTTATACATTTATACACTCACTACCCACATATCTATCTGTCTATCTGGCTATCTATCTACCTATCTGCTATCTACTCCGTCTATCTATTTGTCTATCTATCTTTCCATCTGTCTATCCATCTATCCATCTATATATCCATCTATCCATCTATCCATCTATCCATCGATCCATCTATCCATCTATCCATCCATCCATCTATCCAGCTATCTATCCATCTATCCATCTATCCGTCTATCCGTCTATCCATCTATCCATCTATCCATCTATCCATCTATCCATCTATCCATCTATCCATCTATCCATCTATCCACCTATCCACCTATCCACCT